ATGTACGTACCTTTTCTTTCTTTCTTTCTATCTATCTATCCATCCATTAATCCATCCATCCATAATCCATCCATCCATCTATCTATCATCTATCTATCTATCTATCTATCTATCTATCTATCTCATCTATCTATCATCTACCTACCTACATACCTACCTACCTAGCTATCTGTATTGGGAACTGAATCCAGGGCTTTGTATACACTGGGCACATACTCTACACCATTGAAGTATATTTCCAGCCCTTACTCCGTTTTTTTGTTTTGTTTTGTTTTGTTTTTGTTGTTGTTTTTTGTTTTTTTTGAGACAGAGTCTCTTACTAAATTGTCCAAGGTAGCTTTGAACTCACTCTAGCCCAGGCAGGCCTTGAACTTGTGAGCCTCCTGCTTCAGTGTCCTAAGTAGTTCAGATCACAGGCCTGCACTACCAGGTTTGGCTCATAATATTTTTATGTTTTTGAGGCTGGGTCTCTGCTAGCTCAGGCTGACCATAAACTCCCTATGTAGTTGAGGATGACCTTGGATTTCTGATCTTACTGTCTCTACCCACAAAGTGTGGAGATTATGGGTATATCCCATCATGCCAAATTTCATGTGGTACTAGGGATCGAGCCCAGGGCTTTGCTCATGCAGGTAAACATTTTATTAACTGAGTTACATCTCTAGTCCTACAACTCACAAACTTGGGGACCTTTCCCCAAGGTCTTGTTCTTTCTATTCAGGCATGTCCTGCCCATCATGCCTATGGAGGTTGGGGGGCAAGTCCAGTACATTTGGGGTTTCCTCAATAAGGCCCCACATCCCTGGGCTCCAGCTACTTTGTTTCAGGGTTTAAGTGGGTTTATCCTTGTTAGTCAGCCCATCCATGCTGTTATGAGCCTCTGGCATTCCTAGTTTGCCACTCCCAAGGTAACTGTTCAGCAACTATATCACAGTCACAAGAGGCATCATTCAGAGCTGTGACTTCTCACCTGAAATGGAGCAGCCTTACCTCTGGATGTCAAACACGTCTCTGGATTCTGTGAAATGCTTTAAGTGCTCCAGAAGAATCTCACAGGCCTGGCTGATGAGGGGTGTCATCTGATAATAGATAGCAGAGGTGTAATTAGAGCATCATTCAGGGAGTATGCCTAAATTGGCCAGATGATAGGCAAGGTTGTAAGCAGTGCATTCTGGGAAAACGGACTTTGCTCTGAAGGTGCTTTTCAGAGTATCTGTAAAATACAATATTTGTAAACACCCATTTTAAGCTTAAGCAAGCTTTTTGTGGGAGAAGCACAAAAGAAGGGATTGAAAGTAAATCTGGTGAAATAATTAGGAAAGTGATCGTTAAGTTTAGACCAAACTTCAAATCAGCACTGAGCTTCCTGACATGTGGTTAGCATTAGTGAACACCGAGACCACATTCCATATGTTCTGGAACTAACCCAAGTTCTTGGATGTTTGCTCTAGTCACACTTTCAGATCTTCCACTAGAATATAGAACACAGTATCCAGAGGAACTGAAGGTTGATCATTCCACTTTAATTAACCCAGAAATTATTTTGAGAATTCCTGAGAGATGGTTATTTATTTGTGCTTAAGCTGCCTAACCCTTTCAATACAGGGTAATTGTTTTCTTGATTTGTCCCACCCAAGGAAATTGCTAACTTCTTTTCTTAATATTCAGATATTTTGTCAAGGAAAATTTCTAACACAGAGAGAAAGCTCTAGAGAGGGGCACTGTGAACACATATGTCAGCTGGTTTCAACACCAGTTTATATGTCAGTTTGGGCTACCTGCCACTTTGAGCCCCCAACAGTCTCATTTGGGTGGGTAGAATTCTTTGTGGAACTTTTATTCTCTGTTATATGTTTGAAAGGCCAAACTAGAAATGTTAAAGGGAATCATTTGAATTGCAGAACGTTTTAGAACAACATCATGGCAGAAGCAAAGCTGCCATGGAGTCTTCTGGGTATTTCTTATGGGCATCGTAATTGAAAATGGTACCTGATGTTTGTTTTCATTATTATTAGTTTTAAAGAAACTTTTAAAACATTTATTTTTTAAATTATGTGTGTGTGTCTGTATGTATGTACACATGAGTGTGGGTGCCTACAGAGGCCAGAAGAGGGTGTTAGATCCCTTGGAGCTGAGGTTACAGGCAGTTGTGAGGTGTAAACAAACTCAGGTCCTCTGCAAGAGCAATACACATTCTTAGCCTTTGACCCATCTCCCCAGCCCCTGGCTTTCATCATTTTGATACTAGAATATTAAGTTCCTGAGAGCATAAACTTGTCTGTATTTTTCAAAAAATTTTTTAATCCCTAGACCCTGCAACAGGGCCTGGCACATATAATTATTATTATTATTTTTGGATGAAAGAATGAATGAATGAATTTCACTGATTATGCAATATCCACTTTTTGTTCTTCAAATCTGAAGACATTGGGAAAAATGATAAAATGTTAATTTACTCGCAGACGTATGTTATTGAATCAAGACAAAATCTGGCTCCCTCTGCTACAATTTGGACCTGGGTCCCCCAAACACAAATGTGATAAAGGCTTGCCCCAGGGTTGTGTGATTGGGAGGTGGTAAGCCTTGAGGAGATGGGGCCTAGTGTAAGACCTTTAGGATAATTTGATTTGTATATCTGGCAGGGGACAATGAAAGAGCCACAAGTCCCATCCCCAGCATCTCACCCACAGCTGCCCAAGTCTGAGTATTTCTCACAGGCATCATAGTTGAAAATGGTACCTGATGTTTGTTTTCATTATTATCTTTAATGTCTCACCCACAGCTACCCAGACTATTCTTACTGCTCTTTTTTTTTTTTTTTAAACCAACCAAGGTTATTCTTGAAGGGCATCTGGTAAGTGGAACACAGTACTATTTCGGGTGCTATCTAGTAAATGGTAAATGAATCACATCTTGTGACCTACACTCTGTACGTCAATGGCAAGGCTGAGTTTATGTTGACTTTTTCAGAAGACACACAACCCAGGCAAATACTGAAGTTCAGGTCAACAAAAGCCATGAGGTCTTTTCCCATGAGTTACAGCTGCATGCAACTGACTCTTCAGCCCTTGAGGGTCCATTTGTTAGAAAGGCTTTGCGTTTCTATTGTTTTTATTTCCATAAAAAAGTTGTTTGTCATGTGTTCTGAACAGAACAATCTCTGAAGGTCCCTAAAATGCTGGGCATGGTGGGACAGTCTGGGTAACTGTGGGTGAGATGCTGGGGATGGGACATGGGCTTTGTTGGAACCCTCTCTTTCATAGTTTCCTGCCAGTCAGCCTCACATGCTCCCTAGGAACAGACCTGTGGCTCCAAGGCTTCATTAACTGCTGAGCTGAGGGAGCCTTCTTGGAGGGAGCTGGTCCCGAGACACACAAAGGTAGGTATTCCTACTGATCAAAAGTGGAACACTAGCGATTCCTTCTTTGTAAGTGTTCCTTCTAAGTCTTCACTCAGTGGCTGTATGTACAGGTTCAAGCATATCCTCAGGACCTGCCACTAGACAGTGGTTTCAGGCATCTGCAGAATTTTTCAAAATCCTTTGGCCGGTCACGATAAACCTAAATAAATACTCAGCCTGGTACCATCTTACCAATAATTGGAAGGAGAAGACATTGTAAAAGATTGACTGAAACAGAAGTATGATTTACCTCAGTTACCTATCCTGTAATACACTCAGAAAGGAATAGTATGGCAATTCTGATTTATTCTCAGTAGCTCCGGATTGATTCTTTATGCCTGAGGCATTCTTTTCTAAATTCTCATAAACCATCAATTGAATAATCCATCAGCACAAGTCTATGTGCAGATGGGTCCCTTAAAATGTTTTCTGGGCCTGTTCTAAGAAATCTCTGACTCCTTAATATTTGGAAAACTCAGTGCTATCTAAACCACATTTCTCTAGCTAGCCTCTCTGGCTATCTTTCTTTTTTAAAAATACTTTGTTTATTTTTCTTTTATGTGTATGAGTGTTTTGCTCACATGCATATACATGTACCACATGCATATAATGCCTGCAGAGGCCAGAACAGGGCATTGGATTATCTGTAACTGGAGTTTTGGACAGTTGTTAGTTGCCATGTGGGCACTAGGACCTGAACCCAGGTCCTCTGCAAGAGCTGTCAGTGTTCTTAACTACTGAGCCATCTTTGTAGTTCCTCTGGTCATTTTTCTTAAGTTGTTTTAGTACATTTGTTTTATGTATATGTATGTGTTTGTGCATGAGTACATACATGCCACAGTGCACATGTGGAAGTCAGAGAACACCTTGCAGGAATTAGTTCTCTCCTTCCACCTCATGGTTCCTAGGAACCAAACTAAAGTTGTCAGCTCAGTGACACATGCGTTTACCCTCTAAGCCATCTTACTGACCCCTTCAACTATTTTATTTATTTATTTATTTATTTATTTATTTATTTATTTATTTATTTAT